ATGGATCTGTCTATTATCATAACAGAAGCGCCTGAAAGCTGCTAACTTCTCTGATTGGATGTAGCGTCTTTCCCAAAACCAAAGGATGTAGACGGTGTCCCGCAATGGTAAGGTGTCGTGGACCTGGACGAACCGCACCAGCTGCAAGTGCAAGTTATTACGGTAATTGACTTGCTACAGGGCACTTTCAGCCCTCCTCGAGCTCAGGGCACCCCCCGCTGAGATTTGGTAAACCTCACCATTTTGTCTACGCGAACAGGACGGAGGGAGCATGGATGGGGGGGTCTGAACGAAAATAATAATATTAATGATGATGATAATAAAAGGATAAAATAAAAAGAATAAATAACGAGTGACCAGGATATACAGGACGAAGAGTGGAAAGATGAGAGAAGCACTAGTCTGCGTGAACAGTGACACAGAAAGAGCCACTAGAGAAGCCGTAGCGTCTGTGGGCAGGGGTCTCCTGTACCCCCCCCCCCGGCTGCTTGGAGCTCCCACCCGGGATCAGGACGGTTGTGATGTAGATGAAATTGCCCGAAGGGGGGTAGAGAGTCCTGCGGCGGATAAGGACATGCTCAATGGCGCTGCCTTCCCCCAACGACCGACTACGAAGTACGCAGTGTTCGACATAGTACGCAGTACGTACCATCACATCACATATGCAACTAGCTGGCGCGCCCTGGTCTCCAGACTCTAGTAGGTAGTAGCTCAGGTTGGTTGCTAGTAACCTCACCTTTCATTGCGTCTGTAACGCTCTGGCCGCGCCAAGCTCCTATGACGGTTTCTTCGCGCGGAAACGTGTACAAAACCTAGCGAGGTAGGTAATGCACAAACGATATGCATAACAAAATACGGGTTGGAAACATAACACTAAATAATAATCATGATGACAATACGGATAATAATCAGAATAATAATAAAACAGGCTCCACTATAGCAGCAGCCCTGACGGGGGCGGCCTGGCTGACCCCTTACTCCGTCCAGTATGTATTATACAATGTCTGACCGACCGAGTTGGCCGTCATTTTCCGGCAGGACTACGGAGTACCTACGATGGATTGGGCGACAGCATGGTAACACAGAGATGCGACGGTAAACATTGACAAGGCGAAAAGCAGCTCAGTCAGTGTCACTTGTTGAGGAACCACCGTATCGTTGCCGCAACAAACCAAAAGCTGCCCACGATTCGAGATGGCGTTTTTCGTCTCCTCCCGTCGAGCACCTGCCGTCTGAGCTCAAGAATCGAAAATAGAAGACAGCGGGAGAGTCCTGAATTGTCCTGAATTCCATACCGAGCGATCCTGATCGTCCGTGAGCAAAGGTCGGCTTCGGGAGGCTGGCTGATCGTCACGAGAAAGCCTCGCGGCTCTCGAGCTCTTAGAGTCTCTCGATCTCTCGATTTAGCAGCATCTTGGTGAGCGGAATCCCTCGCTCGTGCGTGCCCTCGCATCTTGGGGGGGAGCACCGTTGGCGCGGCAAACCACGGTTGCCTTCTTTTGTGTACGCATGGCCAGGGAGTGAGACCACCCGATAGGCCTATGTCAAGCATGTTGTGATTAGAGCATCTGTATCCGTACAGATCAACGAGCAAGGCTGCTGCCGTTGGAAGGAAAGGGATTAATTGGGGGGTTTCTTACCTTTTTTATTTTATTTTATTTTAAAAAAAGAAGTTAAAAAAAAACCTCCCCATTGTTGATATGCTGCAACACCACGGAGCACACAAGTTTGTTTCTGCGGGCGGTTATCTATGTTTTGTTCCAAGCTCGTATGCCAATGTGTGTGTGTGTGTGCTCGCTCTCGCGTGCTGTGGGCATTCATTGCCTGGCGACAACCAGTACGTGCAATCGTACGTTGTGCGCCGCCTATCGAAGAGGATTGGAAACCAGCTAGGGGAACCCTGACGTGACGACCGATCCCCTGCTCACCATGTCTTGATTCAATCCACGCCCCCCCCCCCCCCCCCTCCACAAATTGTCACTATATTGTACGAATACAGCAGCCACCCCCCAAAGGAAGAGACGCAGGCAAAGTAAGCAGTCAGATTGCGTTGTGGTTGTGCGCTAATAGAGCGGCTATCCCATCCGCCACCGACACACGCCCACCCCCCTCAGCCTGATCCTAACGCTATTCAAGTACCGGTGTGGCAGCCCTGAATAAGGTCCGCGAGCGTCACAGGCTCGAGTATTTGACATAGCCGCGCCAGTCTGGTCTGGCAATGAGTAAGAGGCCAGGGGACTCGACTCAAACAACCGTCCCAAATCTTGCTCTCAGTTGCTCAAACTTGTCGTATGCTGCCGAAACTCTTGCAATTGCCATTATTGTTGTCACTGTTACTATTGCCGCTACCGCTGCTGCTGTTGTCGTTGTTACTATTATTATTATTATTATTATCATCATCATTGTTATTATTGTTGTTGTTTTGTTGTTGTTGTTGTTGTTGCTGCCGCCTGCCTCGCTCGCTCGCTCGCTCGCTCTCTTGGACCCTCAAGCCACCCGTCAGTCGGCGGGTCACAGCTGACGTCTGTGACATCTCCCAAACAATTTTTGTGGGTGTGTATGGGTGTTCTTGGGTTCAACCAGTCGCTGAGCTTCCTTGACGGCTCCGATGCTTTCGACCACGACCCTCGGCGGAGGAGGCTGTGCTTGTCAACATAAATCATGGCACCTTGACCCAGGGACGACCGGTGCAGAGTGAAACGTCAGTCATCATTGGATGTTCTCCCTCCGTCCGAGGTCTTTGGAACATGTGTGCGATGCATGAGATGCGGCTCCCCATGACGGGCCAGGCCTGGCGAGGTATTGGATCATTCCTACATTTTCCTCTTCGGGAAGTGTTTGCAGGCCATCCTTCAAACGGAGCATCCAGCCCAGCAAAGTTGCTGCCCTGCGATTGGTGCTGATCAAACTTTGACATATGCAACCTCTGCCCCTCGTCCTTCCCCCGACCGCAAAGCATCGAAATGTCTATTTTCATGCGGCTCTCGAAGTCTCATTTCCTCGGCTCCCAGGTCAGCGCACTGGTTGTTCAACAACAACCATTCTGACCTTGAGCATCATTCAAGGCCGTAAACCCCCGCCAAGTCGAGTGATAAAAGAGCACCAAGGTTCACCCGGGCCAAGGCTCGCGACCACCGTTTTGGTTTCTGGCAGACGTGCTTTTTCGGGAGGGCGGAAGCAAGCTACTCAAGAGGAAGAAGGAACACATACAGCCAGCTCCTCCGGAGCCGGAGCCGCCCCGCTCGAGGGGCTAGAGGGAGAGCTGTCAAAAAACGCAGATCTACCGCAGTGATCCGGTGGCTCACAGTCCCCAGTCGGGCACCGCATTTGATTGGGCCTGTGGCTGGAAGGAAGTGGCATGTTCCGAGTAGCATCAATGTTTTGCCCTGGTGGCCGTGGCGAGATCCTTGCGGCGGTGCTGGCCAGGGTGCCACGATCAATCTTCTGCTCCCAATCCCTTTGACAGGTCCTAGAAACAGCCCAACTTGTGTGCATGACAGGTCCAAGGGCCGAAAGAGTTCGTCAAGAGATCTAGGCAAACAAGAATTGCGATTGGCTGCTCATGGCTGCCACGGTACAGTTGATCTCAGGTTGATCGGAACCAGAG